GGGTCTTCACAAACTCCAGGCCCTAGTAAGTGTTTATCTGCAGGCTGTAGTCCATCACTTCCCCATGGCTAGTCCAGGGGCATTGCTGCGCTCTTCCCCACCTTATACAAGGGGGTATGATAGTTGCTTTACATGGAGAGCAGGCTTAGGATCCATTGTCCACTCTATAGCAACACCAAGTGGCACTCTCAGCCTCCAGGTGGCATTGCAGACTCATCTAATATCTTTAAATATAATTATGTAGTTCCCGTCAATGTATAATCTCTTCTCTCTATTCCTTTGCAGGATCATGTTTCTCATGTCTCTATCCTTAAAAGTAATTAAACAGTCACCCGGGAATTTCTTTAGCTTACTTGATTTAATTTTCATTCTGTATGCATTTTGTATTGTCTTTGCTATTTCTTCTTCTGAGAGCTCCATCCACTGCGCAATTTCCTTTATCAGTCTATCTTTTATATTTTCATTTTGTAATTCCGGTACTTGTCTCAGTCTTAAATTAACTTCTCTCTGTTTCAGTTCGTTCATCGCGATGGAGTCTTTTATTTCTTCTTGAATTTTATTTAGATCTGCGATCTCATTTCTTCCCTCCCTCCTGATTGGCTCCTCCCGCTGCTGCTGGCTGCAAAGCAAGCAAAGCTAGAGCCGTGCAAAGCCCTGCAAGCGGCTCCCGCTTTGCTTGACTGATGGCAGCCACGGCTCCAATCCAGTGCATTCGCTCTATAACACGCACACGCATTTTCCCTTACTTTCTAGAAGCAAAAAAGTGCGTGTTATGGAGCGAAAATTACGGTACATTGGCTCCCAGTACGTTTCCGAGCACAATTCAAAGTGTTGGTGCTGACCTTGAAAGCCCTAAACAGCCTCAGTCCAGTATACCTGAAGGAGCGTCTCCACCCCCATCGTTCTGCCCGGACGCTGAGGTCCAGCGCTGAGGACCTTCTGGCGGTTCCCTCCCTGCGAGAAGTGAGGTTACAGGGAACCAGGCAGAGGGCCTTCTCGGTGGTGGCACCTGCCCTGTGGAACGCCCTCCCAGCAGATGTCAAGGAAAGAAACAACAATCTGACTTTTCAAAGACATCTGAAGGCAGCCCTGTTTAGGGAAGCTTTTAATGTTTAACAGACTACTATATTTTAATACTTTGCTGGAAGCAGCCCAGAGTGGCTTGGGAGACCCAGCCAGATGGGCGGGGTACAAATAAATTATTATTATTATTATTATTATTATTATTATTATTATTATTATATTTGTAGTTTTATCCCCCATTGTGCATTTGTCCTTCTTTTAAAGCCATCCCAGTTGCCGGCCATCACTGCCTCTTCCTGCGGAAGTGAGTTCCATAGTTTAACTCTTCACTGGTCAGTAAACAGGTCATCTAGGAGCGACCACTTGCACATCTGTATCTGAAACCACTTTGCTTCCCTTTTCAGGCTGTAAAAGCTGGCTGGGAGATCCATTTGGCTGTCCAAGCAGAGGGTGAAAAAAGGGAATTTGCAATGTAAACTGCACCTGTGATAAATGAGGATCTGGACAATTACCAGCCGGGCTTTTCACTTGGAAGAATGTCCCCGGGGCTGGAGGCTTACATATCTTGTGCCTCCTGTACCTGAGCGAATCTCAGCCTCTGAAACAGGAAGAGAGAGAGGCCCTTTTAAAAAGAAAAGGGAAACCCTGCTCTCTGATCCTAGAATTCTCAGCCCACAAACCAGATCCCACCCAAGGAGACTCAAGGAGATTTACCTGTTGCCTCCATGTGGCACGACAAATATTTGCCTTGAATTCCTGCCCCCAAGGAGCCTCGTTTCTCTTTGCTGAAATGTGCAATTATTGGCATGTGTGCTGTCCGAAGAGTCCCAGAAAAAGTCTGGATCCTTCACGGGCGAGGTCTGTGTTGGTCTTCCCCAAAATTTTCTGGCCCATGTGTGCAGAGGAGGGTGACACACCTTCTGAGGAACGGTTGAGGGTGTTTAGCCTGCAGAAGGGAAGACAGACAGGTGACAAATATCTCAAGGGCTGTCGCATGGAAGTCGGAGCTGGCTTTGTTCCCTCCTGGTCCGGAGGGTGGGACCTAAAACAAATGGAATCAGAGGACAAGGAACGAGATTCTGACTAAAGGTAAGGAGAACTTTCTGGTGGTAGGAGCTGTTTGACATTGGAACAAGCTACCTGCTTATTTAACTTATATGCAGAATTCATCATGCGAAAGGCTGGGCTGGATGAATCCCAAGCCAGAATTAAGATTGCCGGAAGAAATATCAACAACCTCAGATATGCATATGGCACAACCTTGATGGCAGAAAGTGAGGAGGAATTAATGAACCTTTTAATGAGGGTGAAAGAGGAGAGAGCAAAATATGGCCTGAAGCTCAACATCAAAAAACCTAAGATCCTGGCCACTGGTCCCATCACCTCCTGGCAAATAGAAGGGGAAGAAATGGAGGCAGTGACAGATTTTACTTTCTTGGGCTCCATGATCACTGCAGATGGTGACAGCAGCCACAAAATTAAAAGACGCCTGCTTCTTGGGAGAAAAGCAATGACAAACCTAGACAGCACCTTAAAAAGCAGAGACATCTGCTGCCTGCAGGGGCCGCAGAAACCATGGGTGCTGCTGCCGGCACTCTTGTCGCCACGCACCTGGGCAGGCTCTGCAGCATTGCCCCATGACCAAGGCGCGCATTGTGCTCATCCTGGTGGCAGGTCCCCTGCTGCGCAAGCCTCTCGCACCTTCCTGCAGCAGCAGCTACTCAGAGTAATAAGTGTAGCCGGGAGGATTGCAAATGGAAAATTGGATTGTGTGACCGGAACGATGCCTGTCGGATTGGGGGGGGCGGGTGGTAATAGGTTTATTGCTTTGGGAACGAAGGCCGCATGCACACCATACATTTAAAGCACGATCCCTAGGTTCCTGGGAATTGGAGTTCGAGGGTGCTGGGAACTGTAGTTCTGTGAGAAGGAACTTCCATTCCCAGAATGATTGGCGGGGCAGTGGGAGATGTGCTTTAAATGTGTGGTGTGTATGTTGCAGGCCATGGGTTCAAGCCCCAGTGGGACCACAAATATCCCCCCCCCCTTCTATTCCCTTTTCCACATGATTGGTGGTTCAGTCGTAGAATTCTCTTTTTTTAAAAAAAAAATAAAAATTCAAAATTATAACAAGACATATTATCCAAAAAACATATTATCCTTGTCCCCCCCCCATTTTTCCTCCCTCCACCCCACAACCCCCCCCCCCGCCCCCACCCCCACCCCGACTTCCCTCAGTTCCAGTCTTTGGTTTCTCTGAGACTGCTGTTTTCTGCATGTTACAAAGTTGTATAGATCCTCAAACTATTTATCTGATTATTATCAATAAAAAGTTTGTGAATGTTTATTCAAAACCGGCCAAGGAGTCCAGTTCGCTTTGTTGCGTCTTCAGATACTTTGTAAAGGGTTCCCATTCATCCTTAAAGTCACAGTTATCCTTGTCCCGTAGCTTGTATGTCAGTTTTGCCAGTTCTGCATAGTCCGTCAATTTTTCTTGTCCTGATTCTTTAGTTGGGGTTTCCTCAGTCTTCCATCCTTGTGCTATTAAGACTCTTGCCGCTGTTGTCGCATACATATAGATGTTTTTCAGCTTTTTTGGCAGGTCTTTCCCTACAATCCCCAACAAAAATGCCTTGGATTTTTTAACAAATGTTAAAGGGAACATTTTCTTCAATTCATTGTATATCATTTCCCAATTTTTTTAAATTGCCTTACAATCCCACCACATATGATAAAATGTCCCTTCCTTTTCTTTACACTTCCAACATATATTTGAATTAGTTTTGTACATTTTCCCTAACTGCACTGGTGTTGTGTACCATCTACACATCATCTTCATGTAATTCTCCTTCAATAGGGAACAATCTGTAAATTTTAAATCAGTTTTCCATAATTTTTCCCAATCTTCCATCATAATGTTGTGACCTACATCTTGTGTCCATTTAATCGTAACTGATTTTACCTCTTCATCTTTCATCTCCCATTCTAATAATATGCTGTATGCGGCCTTCAGTAATTTCACTTTCCCTTCGATCACTTCCGTTTGAAGCCTAGATCTTGTACAGTGGTGCCTCGCAAGACGAAATTAATACGTTCTGCGAGTCTCTTCGTCTTACGGTTTTTTCGTCTTGCGAAGCATGGCTATTAGCGGCTTAGCGGCTATTAACGGCTTAGCGGCTATTAGCGGCTTAGCGGCTATTAACGGCTTAGCGGCTATTAACGGCTTAGCGGCTTTAAGAAAAAGGAAACAAACTCGCAAGAACTCGCGAGACGTTTCGTCTTGCGAAGCAAGCCCATAGGGAAATTCATCTTGCGGAACGACTCAAAAAAACGGAAAACTCTTTCGTCTAGTGAGTTTTTCGTCTTCCAAGGCATTCGTCTTGCGGGGCACCACTGTATACAGTGGTAGAATTCTCACCTGCCAAGTGGTAGGTCTGAATTCGAGTCCCGGTCAATGCAGTAACATACCATTAGCCTGGATGGCTCAGTTGGTTACAGCATGGTGCTGATAACGCCACGGTTGCAGGTTCGATCCCTGTATGGGATGACTGCATACTCCTGCATTGCGGATGGTTGGTCTAGATGGGGTTTCCCTCCCAACTCTATTATTCTTTGCAATTTCGTCCTTCCAGCCTGGGACGCTTTGGGGGTCACTTGTTTTTTGTTCTGCTCGCTTGCCTTCTGTCATGTTTGCACTTAAAAAAAAAATCGACCTGAAAAAAGGGGGGAACAGCAGCGTGCCCCTGGGCATGTGCAGAGCGCGACTCCCTCCCCCCGGCCATGGCAGAGCCACTGCCCCCCCCCCTTCCCTTCCATCCGAGGGAGGAGCTTTCAGCAGCAGAGACGGACCCGGCGCGATCCTGCTCCGCCTCGCCGTCCCGTCGGGCGTCTGGCGGCGCGGGCACGCCCTCTGGCGGCGCTTTAAAAGCCCTGCAAGCGGCGGAGCGAGCGGCAGGCAGGCGCTTCCGACGGCCGGGGCACCGGGCGAAGATGCAGCAGCGGCGGCGGCAGGAGACGGGAGGGCGGACTGGGCGATGGACGGAGCCGAGGTGAGCGCGGTCCCTCTTGGGCTGGCTGCAGGGGAAGCGCCCCGGCAGCCGTCGAGGCGGACGGACGTGCCTGCCTGCCTGCCTGCCTTGCTCGCGGGAAGGGGCGCGGGGACTGCGGGGAGGGATCGGGGCGAGCGGCGGTTAAGAGAGAAAGAGTCGGGCGAGTGGGTTTGGGCGCTGGGGACTCGACGTGCGCTCCCGAAAGCCCTGCCCGTGAATCCTTAATGGTGGTTATTTTGGAATTGCCAAGAGCAAGGCGGCATGCACTCTGCACATGCTTAGAGGCGCTTCTCTTTCGTCTTTGCCCAGTGGTTTTTGGGCGCGAGATGAGTAAGCCCCGTGGAGGCGAAAAAGCCTGTTCATCCGATGAAGAAAGCGGAAGGCCGAGGTGCAAGGGACACCACGGGTCATCTAGTCCAACCCCGGCTGCAAGTGGAGGTGATGAGGGGTTAGGGAGCAAATTGGTGAGCGGATCGACGATGGGGGTGGTGGCTGGATAGGAGGAGGACCGGGAGAGATCTAGTAGGCAGACAGAGAGGGTGAGAAAGTAGATTCTTAGGAGCTGCCTTTGGACACTGGTGGCAGCAAAAGACTGTTTGTTGCAATACTAAATAGGTGCAAATGGTCAGAAACGGGGTTGTTCTTAGGGGCGGTCAGGGACTCAGAGGTAGCACACCTGCTTTGCATCCAGAAGGTCCCAGGTTCGATCCCTGGCAGCATCTCCAGGTAGGGCTGTGTGGTGTAGTGGTTAGAGAGTGTTGGATTAGTACCCAGGAGAAAAGGGTTCAAATTCCCAACTCACTGGCTAGTCACTGCCCCTCAGCTTCACCCACCTCGCAGGGCTGTTGTGGGGGATGAAATGAGGAGGGGGAGAGCTTTGTAGACCACCTCGAGCTCCTTGGAGGGAAAAGTTGGATATCAAGGCAATAAATCGGGCAGGGAGCGTCGCCTGCTTGAAACTCTGGGGAGCTGCTGCCAGCCAGTGTAGACAGTATTGATCTAGATGGACCCGATGCTCAGCTTTCTAGCTTCCTGAAATAGACTTTGGGCTATAGAAGGGTTGTGGCTCAAGAGTAGAGCACCTGCTCTGCATGCAGAAGGTCCCAGGTTCAGTCCCAAGGCAGCACCTTCCAGTAGGGTTAGGAGACGCCCCCTGTCTGAAACTCTTGAGCTACTGCCAGCCAGAGTTGACAGCATTGGGCTGGGTGGCTCAGTGGATCTGGCTGAAAATAACGTACAGGGCTCTTCTGCGCCATTTCCCCTCTTCCTGCTGCTGCTTACAGGGTCCCTCGGAAAGCCATCCAAAATCTGCCGTTTATCCGTACGGATGGAGGTAGCAGTTTCTGCCTTGGCCTCATCTTTTAGCCATGGTTGGTGGGATGGAGGGAATTGTAACCAGGGGACTTAGGAAGGATGAGGCAACGATGCCTCTGCCTGTCTTGTTCTCAAACAACCGGCTCACAGCCTGAGCGCAGATCAGTTTTGCCTTGGCTGTTCAGACAGCCTGAAAATTTATATTCAAAATGCACCAAGTGACTAAGGAGACCAGCAAGGAACCCAGGGGTCATCTAGCCCAACCCCCTTTGATGCAGGAATCACAACTGAAGAGTGCCTGGCAGGTGGCCGCCCAATCTCTGCATAATAACCTCCAAGGAAGGGGGAGTCCACTGCCCTGGTATTTATAGCGCACCTTCTCTCCAAAGAGCTGGAGGTGGTGTTTGTGCCTCGCCGCTGTACCTTCCCCAAAACCTTGCGAGGCAGGCTCAGGGAGAGAGGCTGGAGCCAGGTCACAAAAGCGAGCTCCGTGGCTGTGGGGAGATTCGAACCTGGGTCTCCCCCACTACATTGCACCGGTCCTCTGACTCGGCTCCCTGCCCTGGAAATATCTCCTTGGGGTGCCTGATTCCGGATGGCATGGCAGTGTTGGGGGGGGTGATGTTTAGAGGCGCCCCCCCTTGCAACCAGCGCAGCCTCTGCAACATTGCGAGGGCCGTTGGGTGGGGCACCCCCCCTCCGCCTGCAGCGTGACAAAACACCTTCGGGGAGGCAGGGGAAACCCTGAGCACCCGCCACCCACAGCGTGAAAGCTGAGCTGGCTTTGCTTCTGAGTCGGCGTGCATGGAATTGCACTTCAGTTGCGCTGAGTGCTCCTGCCCATGCCAGCCCCAGAGCTGTGGGGAGAGTGCGGGCTGCTTGAAGAGCTGGTTCCCCATCCCAGGGGTGTGTGTCTGGGCTGGGGGGAAAGGACCCCCCCTTGTGTGTTCTCTGGACATCTCTTGAGCTCTGGACCACCTGCGACAGAACACACAGGTAAGGCTTTGATACGGTGCCATTGGAATCTGCTTCCGATGCGGGAGGGGGGATTGCTGGGAAATGTGTGAATTGGGAATAGAAGACAGCGCCCCTGAGTGTGTGCAGAGTCCCTTTCCTTCAATACTCGGTAAGTTGGAAGGAGCTGGCATAGATCAATGGCCGGGGAAAGAATTTGCAAGCAGGAGGGTGTTGCAAAAACAACATCCCTTTTCATAGAAAATCAGCACAGGGCTCAAAATGCGATTTAGGTGTGTGCAATGCTCAGCAGTGAACATAGGGACATTTGGACTTAATGGTTTTACGGTAAACACCCCCCCCCCTTTAAATGGTCTTTTGTGTTATTTCACTTGCTCTGGAATGTGGGGTGCTGCGTTCGCAGACCTCCTGTTGCTTCTGCAAAGTGGGGTCCTGCACTTCTGCTCTGAGCGCTCCACCGGTGATGTTGCAACGCTGATAACGGAACAGTACGAGAGAAAGCGGTCCGTAGCTTCCCGTTGCTTAATAAGAATATTTAACGACCACTCATACCTAATACGCTTAGAGTAAAACACTCGACAAAGGGGTGAGAGTTTTAAAGGGCTTAAAGCTGGGTTTTGAAAGAGGGGTGTGGCAAATTCATGGGTCTCTCCCTGTATATTTGTCATGACGGCTCTATGGAGCCTCCAGTTCAGGTGCAGTATACCTGCAGGGGAGATATTGCTGGGCTGTTGCCTTTCTTGCCCTGCTTTTTCAATGGAGGGAAGGGGCTTCCCAAAAGTGTCTATTTTGCCCCCGTGAGAAGAGGGCGATCTTGAGTTGGGTGGTCCTTTGCTCTGACCTAGCAGGGAAATCCTTGTGTTCTTATGGTGGGCTTAGCATTATGCAGATAATGGGAAACTTGGCTTAGTTTGGTTTAACCTAATAGGTTTGTCTAAGTAAGCTTTAGCAGAGCATCAGAGGAAAGAGAGGAGGGAGACCACGTATATTCCTCAATCCGTGCCGTAAAAATGTATTTATTAGCGACGGCTTGTGCCGAAAATGTGGACAGGGACGTGCAAATGCCATCCAAAATGCACAGCCCATTGAAAGCAATGCAGTGCACAGTTAGTTCCCTGCCCGGGAAGTGGACAACGGCTTGTGTGCAGATCTTGTTGGCTGTCGCGGGATGCAGAGAAAGGAAGGCAGAGCTGGGAAAAGATTGGTTTCCTAGAATCATAGAATTGCAGAGTTGGAAGGGACCCCACGGGTCATCCAGCCCAACCCTCTGCAATGCAGAAATCACAGCTAGAGGAGTCCCTGGCAGGCGGCCACTCTGCTTAGAAACCTCCAAGGAAGGAGAGCCCACCGCCTCTTCTGGGAGTCTGTTCCACTGCTGAACAGCTCTTACTGCCAGGAAGTTCTTCCCGATCTTAAGTCGGAATCTCATTTGAATCCACTGGTTCTGGTCCTTCCCTCCGGAGCAGCAGGAGGAAGAACCGAAATGTTTGGGAAGAGGGAGCGGCGAGAGGAAAATGTGCAAGGCTGTTTAACAGGCCCATCTAGCACAGCATCCTTTTTCCGATAAGGTCATGTACGTATGCTATAAAATGCATGCCAATGTGTAGGGCTATGGTGCCCTTTTGCCTGTAATCTGTCGTTATTTTTTCAGAAGCTGAGGGCTCACTTGCTCTGCTACTTAAACTTGGTGTGTGTGTGTGCGCGCGCGCTTGTGGAGCCCTTTAATCGAAAAAAAGTCCATGCCAATTCTTCATAACTATTTCTCCCCATCACCATTTCCCCAGGCCAGTAGTAATGTCCTGCCTTCAAACCACGCTTAATTTTAGAATACGAAGAAAATCTCGGAAAGTTATCTGCTTCTCTCCTCCTTTTCAACACTTGCCTTCTCTTTCTCTGTGTGTGTTTTTTATTAAACAATGTGTTTTGTTGAGTCTCTGTGTCCGCTGCTGTTGGGATTGAGGCAAGTTTAGAGCAATTACACGCTTGCAAGCAAAGGGAGAGAGGTGGCTTGTCAGAGTGAAGGAGGGCAAAGCCAAGCCATTGCTCTGTTTGCTGGCACTCTCTGTGAGAGAAGCAGAACCGCAGGGGAGATCGGAATTGCCCAATTCTGCCTTCAAAAGGCATCTGAGGAAGGGAAGGGCTATATCTCAGAGCCAGGGCAGAGGCTGTGCATGCAAAAACCTCAGGACTAGTTCCATGCTTGGCATCTCCAGGGAAAGCGGGGAGAGAACGGTCAACAGTGTGATGCAGCAGCAAATAAGGCTAATGCGATCCTAGGCTGTATAGGGTCCAAATCAAGGGAGGCAAGAGTGTTGCTCTCTTCTGCCTTGGTCAGACCACACCTGGAGTCCAGGGTCCAGTTCTGGATGCCACAGTTTAACAACAACAACAACAGTAATTTATTATTCATACCCCGCCCATCTGACTGGGTTTCCCCAGCCACTCTGGGTGGCTTCCAACCGAATATTAAAAGAACACAGCATCAGACATTAAAAACTTCCCTAAACAGTTGTTTTTTAAAAGTAAAATAGTTTCCCACAGGGCAGGCGCCACCACCAAGGAGGCCCTCTGTCTGGTTCCCTGTAACCTCACTTCTCGCAGGGAGGGAACCGCCAGAAGGCCCTCGGCGCTGGACCTCAGTGTCCGGGCTGAACGATGGGGGTGGAGACGCTCCTTCAGGTATACAGGACCGAGGCCGTTTAGGGCTTTAA